CCATAGTCTATACGGACAAGAGAGATTCCAAGGGTGTTTAATCCTGGAAGGTTGTTAACATTGACGGCTGTCACATTGGAACCAACTGCATTAGTTACTGGTCTTGCATTGTGAAGCCCTGAGAAAAAGAAGTCATCCGCCGTTGCGAGCTTTGGGTCCTTGCAAAACTTTCCGTTCACAAAAACTGATAATAGTAACACAAAAAAAAAGAGAGTAAGAAATGATAAATGAATGATAAAATAAAGGAAAAGCTACTAGGAAATCTCCATGTACATACCACCATTTGCTGGGGTGTTGACGCCAACACAAAAGTCTTGAACGGGGCTTGGGTCAGAGGAAATGACTAATGGAAGTGTTAAGGCCAAAAGAGATAGAACTGCAAGAAAGGAGAGACTCTTCATTGTCATATATTTGAAATGGTACCCGGAATTAGAGAAGTGTTTTTTTTAGTATGGTTTTAGTTGAGAGGTAAGGAACATATAAGACAATGAGATGAATTTATAGATGAGTTTACGTGCTGAAGTAGTCCTGTAAATCTAGAAAAGTTGAAAATGTAGTTTGAAATGGTTGAGGTTTAAAAAGAAAAAGAAAAATCGTGCTCCCACAACGCACCATCTTTATGGTATACTTCAATTATGAAAAGTACACATTGTTTTGATTTCTAAAGAACAATTATCCATTTGAAGTTTGATATGGCAAGTGTCGAGAAATTATACATTTTTGTGTGTGCACAAGTTATATATAAAATGTTTGTTTTATGATTATCTTCCCTCAAATTGTCTTTACATTCCCTCAAATGTCAATGTGAAACTGTTTGTTTTGGTTTGATTGTTTCTTAAGTGACTAGGCACGACTGTATCAACACTACAAGAATTCATTGAAATAGCTACGGAATGGCAAAGACATTTTCGTAGCTAGTATTATTAGTCATAGATGTAGCAATAGAGCATATAACTTCAACTTTGTAGCTAGTTGTTGCAATCTATAGCTATATAGCTAGAGACAATTTTGTTGGTGATCCGTAGCTAAATAGCTATGCTTTGGCTAGAGATAAAGTGGTTGCTACAGTTGTTCTATTTAGCAACAACTAACTACAATCATTTTTATTGCTAAATAACACCAATGTCNGCTAAATAGCTATGCTTTGGCTAGAGATAAAGTGGTTGCTACAGTTGTTCTATTTAGCAACAACTAACTACAATCATTTTTATTGCTAAATAACACCAATGTCTCCTTACTGCTAAATAACACCAAATTCTCTATCATTTTGACGCAATGTTATAATTATCAAGATAATAAAAATTATAATGTTTCTTGTATATATATATATATAAAATAGTGTTAGACTAACAATTTTTAACATAAAAACAATTTATTTTTTTAAGATAAAAATATTGAAGCCACATATACTAAACCACTAGTAGTATATTAAAACTAATGGGTATACAAATATGTAAATGTAAACGGATGTCAAAATTTGAATTAATATTTCTGGGTTTTTCGGAAAATAGAGAAAATTGTTTTTTAGGCCATAACAACTAAGACATTGTCTCTTTAGGTTAATTTATATTTTGTACCATTTTTGACTATAATGCCTTTAACTATTTTCAGAAATTAATCAAATAATTAGTTTTATGAACAAACAAAAATTCAAAAAATAGTAACTAATGATGAAATAGTTATATCAATTTAGAGTATTTTTCCCATTTTTAAAAAAATGTTTAAATCATAATTTCATTTTTGTTCAAAAAATATTATTTTTGTTCAAAAAAATACTATGAATAATCTCACGTGCATTAGCGTACATTCAAATTTCTTCAGCTTTCCAACTAAATATATATGTGTATATATTGTATTTAACTGCTTCGTTTGAAAACTGTATCACGAATATACTATTCATTGTTGATGAAATCAAAAACAATTGGGTCATTGCGGAAGTTGAAGCTAACAGTAACAAACAAAATAGCATTACATTACATTACAATAAACGGGAAAATACATACATGATCCTTATTTAGACGAATACATACATGAGATGAAAGAAATCGAAACACACAATGTTATATCATGATGATATTCAGAACTTGTTCTGTAGATCCATGACAACCCTAGGATCCAGCTGGAAAGCCCTAGAAAGAACATTAGGGTTGATAGGTGGGTTAGACCCAAACACGGTGTTGGCAATAGTGACAACACCTGGGTTTTGGCTGCTCAAAGCAGCGAATGCAACCGCTGGAGACCGTCCCACGTTAAACTGGAAATGGATGAGTCCTTCTGGAAACACAAATGCATCACCTTTGCTCAGTGTTTTGGTGAAGAGGCGATTTCCATCTCCGTTTGATGAGACAAAACCTACCAAAAGTG